GGCCGTTACTCCCTATGCGAAACCGGACACTCTCAACGCTTGCAAGTTCGAATCCCGGATGACCACGAAACGAGCGCTTCAAGTTCCTAACTCAACAACATCAATAGTTTGATCGATGAGTCAACTAGCTACCCCTAAACCCTAAACCCTAAACATAGGCTCGAATGGGCGATGAAGGTAAGATCGCTTGAAACTGCACAGGCACGCGGTGAGAATATGACGTCTTCCAAAGATCCAGAGACTCCTCCCAAAGGCACCTCGCACCTGGTTGCGCATTCTGTTTTGAAACTGTCATCCTAAACCCTAAACCCTAAACCCTAAACCCTAAATCCTTCTGCAGATAGCATCCCCAAGTTCTGAAAGTCACAATAATCCCTATACAACCTCAAGTCTCTTCTTATTAGATACCCATGGCCACCGACATGTTTACCAAAAAAGGGGTACTCCTCCCTAACCCTAAACCCGGCCCCTAACCCCAAACCCCTAAAACCTACATTGTACCCCTGGCATTCTAGCACTGCCCCCCCCCCCCCCTTCCCCCCCCGCCCTCTCCAGCGCCCCCCGAACAAAAGTGCCTATATCTTCCTGATTTTTTCAGAAACCAGGCCTTTTAACGGTTTAGGGTTGAGGATTTCGGGTTTCCCTGAAACCAGGCACTTCATGAAGAACAACCCCAAGTGTAGTCAGGCGCCATCTGATCCCGAAGATCCCCCTCACCACTGGTCTTGGCCTTTTTCAGGTCCTTTCACCAGCCACAAGCAGGCCACCCCCAAACATTGGGATGTTCCCCCCGAATGCTAACAGTCCGGACAGGGATTATAGTACCGCATGATACTCCCTATTAAGGACTGACCCGGAACCCTAAACCCTAAACCCTAATGTGGGAATTTGTGTGCAACTACTCGTCTGGTCTTTCTACTCTCCACCCAACCCGCCAAACTGCCCCGAAACCCTAAACCCACCCCAAACCCGAAACCCTAAACCCCAACCCCAAACCCTAAACCCCAAACCCTAAACCCTAAATCCCAAACCCTAAACCCCAAACCCCAAGCCCGACACCCGAAACCCCAAACCCCAAACCCTAAACCCTAAACCCCAAACCCCAAACCCAAACCCCAAACCCCAAACCCTAAACCCTAACCCCAAACCCTAAACCCAAACCCCAAACCCCAAACCCTAAACCCTAAACCCCAAACCCCAAGCCCGAAACCCTAAACCCCAAACCCTGAACCTTAAACCCCAAACCCTAAACCCGAAACCCTAAACCCCAAACCCTAAACCTAAACCCCAAACCCTAAACCCTAAACCCTAAACCCCAAGCCCTAAACCCTAAACCCCAACCCCTCGCATCTCAAGCCCGCGGCTCGCTTTCGTCCGGCTTCGGGGCCCAGATCCAGGGTTTGGCGGGGGCCGGCCTGATTGAGGGTTTGGGGGTTTGGGGTTTAGGGTTCAAGGTTTAGGGCTAGGGTTTGGGGTTTAGGGTTCAGGGTTGAGGATTTAGGGCTTGGGGTTTTAGGGTTCGGGGTTTAGGGTTCGGGGTTTAGGGTTTAGGGTTTGGGGCTTGGGGTTGAAAACTTAAGGGGTTTAGGGTTTGAGGGTGGTCCCAGGGCTTGAGGATTTGGGATGTCGGGTGGCTTTCGGGCCGAAGGTGAAAACATTTTAATTTGGTTGGGGTGCCTCGGCTCTTACAAACCCTGTGAACCTCCAATCCTTTACAAACCCTGCCCGTGCCCTTTAAACCCCTTATGAAGAAAATGCGTGGCATGGACCTGTCACATAACAATCCAAGAAACGTTTTGCTGCATCTTTCTTGAAGGTCCATGCGGCTTGCAGTAACAGAATGCATGCCAATTGGGAAGAAAACTACGAACCAAGGTGACGAAAGTCTCCCCTAGCGGCAGGGTCCCTGTTCATGTCTTTACTTGCCTATGTAACTTTCGCTTCTAAGTTTATGGGCTGCTGTGGAGGAGAAAGAAACGGAAAGAGAGAGAGAGAGAGAGATTTTAAAAGCACATTTTTTAAATCACAGGACACGATGCCGCTGACCAAGATGAGCACAGGAGCTTGACTCATGTCTCTTTGCACATCTCTCCATCTCCCTCTTTCTCTCTCTTTCTCTCTCCCTGACCAGGACGCATGATGAGTTCGACACGCGGAACACCCAAAGGTCTGAACAAGTCTTATACCCTGCATCGTGAATCCGAAGCACCTCAAACAAAACCCTACACCCTAAACCCTACACCCCAAACCCTAAACCCCAAACCCCAAACCCTAAACCCTAAACCCTAAACCCTAAACTCTGGAGGGCGTGTGTTGCCTTAAGCCTAACAGGCACCTCACCGAGCGCTTCTCACTGCGCCGACGGCAGCAGAAGAGGCGTGACGACAGTACGTCCTGGGGCAGGTTGGTTAAACGGTCGTAGGGTTTAGGGTTTAGGGTTTAGGGTTTAGGGTTTAGGGTTTAGGGTTTAGGGTTTAGGGTTTAGGGTTTAGGGTTTGGGGTTTGGGGTTTGGGGTTTGGGGTTTGGGGTTTGGGGTTTGGGGTTTGGGGTTTGGGGTTTGGGGTTTGGGGTTTGGGGTTTGGGGTTTGGGAGTGGTTTGGGTTTAGGGTTTCGGGTTTCGTGTTTAGAGTTTAGGGCTTCTCAAAAAAAATGGTCCCGTTTGGTGTTACGATTGAAAGGCAGCCCACAAAACAGAAACTGGGGCACCCAAGAAGGGACCACGATTTTGAGAACTGACCGAATGCACCTTAGGCGTACCGACTGTCATACGAGGCTCGTAGCCCGGTAACCATATTATAATAAGCGCACCCTTTTTGGGGTTGGGTATTTTATAAGGGAAACCAGAACCCAAAAAAAATGGGTAAAGGGTACCACTGGGCTACTAAGGGCCCATGATTCAGCGAGCTGCAGGGGGCAGCAGGGGTTTCGGATGTCCTGGCTGGTTGCTGGTTTAGGGTTTAGGGTTTAGGGCTTGGGGTTTGGGGTTTGGGGTTTGGGGTTTAGGGTTTAGGGTCTAGGGCTTAGCGTTTAGGGTTTAGGGTTTAGGGTTTAGGTTTAAAATTTCAAGCCCTCGACAAGCCCAAGCAACTTCAACGCGCCTAACATCGGATCAGCACGGGATCTGAAGAGATTCAGAGACATCTTCCAAACCCTAAACCCTAAACCCTAAACCCTAAACCCTAAACCCTACATTCCAAACCCTTTAGAACTAGTAGTCTGAAACATATCCTGTTTCGGGAGGACACTTCGGCTCAACCACGTGGCACCTTTCGTTGCTGATAACCCTAAACCCTAAACCCTAAACCCTAAACCCTAAACCCTAAACCCTAAACCCTAAACCCTAAACCCTAAACCCTAAACCCTAAACCCTAAACCGCAGCGACAATTGCTGACTCGGTCTGAGCTCTGGGTAGGGGCTTTCACACAAGGCCTCGCCGAGCTCTGCTCGACCAGCGCCCGAATATATATATATATATATATATATATATGTATATATGTATATATATATATATATATATATACTAGTGGTATTCCCTTGTGGCCCCTATATAGTTATCCTTCAATGCGCCGCAAAAACCCTATTACTATTCTTATTTCTAAGGCCCCTATACTACAGGCAGGGGAGAGGCGTGGTGGGCGAGTGAATGTATCAGGGAATACGGAAAAAAGGGTATCCGGAACCAACGGAGTCTGTTGCTGACTCGACCTTTGCTGGCCTCGTTGTGTAGGGCTTGGAGTTCGGGGCTTCGGGATTTGAAGGGTTTAGGGTGTAGGGTTTTGGGTTTAGGGTTTAGGGTTTAGGGTTTAGGGTTTAGGGTTTAGGGTTTAGGGTTTCAAGCTTCGTGAGTGCAACAGAACCCAGCAAGCCTCTGCACACTTGTCCGTGGGGCTGTCGTCAACCTGGCTGTAGCAGGAGCCTAAGGGCTTTGGGGGGGCCTCAAGACCACGAAACACAACTGGGAATACCCTAAACCCTAAACCCTAAACCCTAAACCCTAAGCCCTAAACCCTAAACCCTAAACCCTAAACCCTAAACCCTAAACCCTAAACCCTAAACCCTGCCCAAACTCCACATCCCTAAAGACCCTGAACCCCGGAAGCCAAAACCTCGAGGTTTTGGGCTTCTGAGGTTCAAGGGTCTATATGGCTTCTGGTCCAACCCCAAGTCCCCAACCCTGAACCCCCAAACCCCAAACCCTGAACCCAACACCCCAAACCCAGATCCCCATACCCCTAAACCCCAAACCCCTAAACCCTAAACCCTAAACCCGGAATCCTAAACCCTTAAAACCTGAACCTTGGTATACTGACAGACAGTCCTTGATGGGGGGTACTACACTCCCTACTAAGGGCGATTACCATAAGGGGGAACATCCCAACCTAGCCCCCTTAATCCCCGAAAGCCAAACCCCTAAACCCCCAAACCCCAAAACCATGAACCCAGAAACCCCTACACCCCTAAACCCCTAAACCCTAAACCCTACTCCTTAAACCCTAAACCCTAAACCCTAACCCTAAACCCTAACTAAACCCTAAACCCTAAACCCTCATCAAACCCCCTAAACCCCTAAAACCCTAAACCCCTAAACCCTGAACCTCTTAAACCCCCGAAACCCCCGAAACCCCAAACCCTAAACCCTAAACCCTAAGCCCTAAACCCTAAACCCTAAACCCCTTTCAGGGAGCACCTGGAAGCTCTTCTCCGGTGTGCTGTTGAGCAGCGTCCGGCCCTGTGAGGGTCCGCTTAGGGGCCTCCTGGGTTTAGGGCTTAGGGCTTAGGGTTTAGGGTTTAGGGCTTAGGGCATAGGGCTTAGGGCTTAGGGTTTAGGGTTTAGGGTTTACGTAGGGTTTAGGGTTTAGGGTTTAGGGTTTAGGGTTTAGGGTTTAGGGTTTAGGGTTTAGGGTTTAGGGTTGAGGGTTGAGGGTTCAGGGTTGAGGGTTTAGGGTTTAGGGTTTAGGGTTTAGGGTTTAGGGTTTAGGGTTTGGGATTTAGGGTTAA